AGACTTTTTGCATGAAACAGAAAAAAATGAACTTTTGATTTGTGGTTTTGATGATTAGAAATATTAGATAATAGAAAAAAGAGAGCTTCTTTTTTTGTTACCATAGAGTAAGAGATAATTTTATAATTGAACTGGGATTTGCTACAAAGGAAATTGGAAGTTTCTTTCTGTTTCATTTTATCTTTTCTTTTTGCACTTTTGTCCTTTCCTTTTTTTCCCTCTTTTTCCCTTTCTTTTCTTTCTTTACTTTGTATTAGTTTTTTATCCTCTTTTTAAAACTTTTAATAGCATTTATTAAAAAAAGAACATTTTAAAATTATTTTAGTGAGGTTGGAGACTGTTTTTACACTAGTTTGTGAGAGTCTGCCCAATCTAGCTTCATTACCTGTAAGTTCAATGAATGTTATGATGATCAAGGATGGACCATTTAAGTTTAAGCTTCGACTTTATTTCTCCACAACTATATACACTAATGTGAGCTTTATCCAGTTTGGACTTTGGATGATGTCTGTTTAAGAACATACTATAAAAGCCATGCAGGATTTTAAAATTGTGTGGCTAATTTTGTGTATCCTTTGTTTAAATCATGAACTCTGCTCTTTGCACAGTCCCCAGTGGAAATATTTTAATGCTTTCTTTGTAGCAGTTCATCAGTATTGCATTTAGAAGGTGTTGTTTTTTGGGGTTTTTTTGGTATTTACTTAGGGGTCCAGTTCATTAAAAAAATGCTCTGTTACAGAAATATCTAGATTTATAAAGTAATTCTGAAGGGGATTTACTTCATATAGAACATTAAAATGAATATTAAAATATTGGAAGAATTTGGATTGATTGATAATAATAACAATTTATTAAACTTGCATTCCACCTACGACTCTAATTCATCTTCTGTATCCTGTATCTGCATATCTTCTGCTTATTTTCCCCTTTCCTGTGGACAGAAGGCAGCAGAAATGTGGGTAGGTAGGGTTGTACAGTGCTTTGGATTCAAAAGGAGAAAATGGGATTTGACATACACAAGGGCATAACACCTGTTAGAAATTCTTTAAAACAGCTATGACTTTTCCTATGCTTGTTCAGCTACTCTCTGCATCTGCTGTGCAATTCCAACAAATAACATACTAGGTTTAGGGGGTTTCTGGCAGATGCATGCTTACGTATGTTCTGACCCGTTCTGAATCCAAAGCACTGCATAGCCCTAGTCTAGTGTTTCTCAACCTTCTCATTCCTTAGCATGGCTGGCTGGGGAATTCTGGGAGAAGTCTACACATCTTAAAGTTCCCAAGGTTGAGAAACACTGCCCTAGTCTATTTCCCCTCATTCCACAGTGCCCTAGTCTATTTCCCCTCATTTCACATTTTCAAATACAGTTTCAGTAACTCCTAATTAATTACCATGCTTGCTGGTTTTATGAGAATTGGGCTCTGCTAAGATTCTATATCAGTGATGGCGAACCTATGACACGCGTGTCAAAGGTGACACACCATGATGCTTTGGGTGACATGCCAATCTTCACCAACACCCAACAACTATTTTCCCTGTTTGAGTTACTAAAGAAATTGAATTTGTTTTACTCATATTTCATTTTTGTAATTATTTGACGATTCTTTATATAATACATAGCACCACACATGATTGGACTGTATTTTTAAAAAATAAATTAATAAGTAAAGAATTGTTTCTCTTTTGTTAGGGGTGAGGTGGCACGCCAGCAGAGTCAAGTCAGGCATTTTCTGAATTTTTGACACACTGAGCCCAAAAGGTTCGCCATCACTGTTCTATGTAATAGCCATAGCACTGTGTGATTTTAGTGGATGAACTCCACACTAATAAATCTCTTCACCATTACATTACTTTAAAAGAAATAGCCACACTGAAATATGGGGTGATTATTATTTAAAGGTGGTATATGCAGGGCATGTTAATTATATGAAGTTTTCTAAGGTAAAAGTTCAAGTCTTAGAAAAAAATTGGAAAGATTACTCTTAATCTCCACTTTAGCCACAGTTACATTGTCTGAGTTCCAAGACAGGTAAGTTTTAGCTTACTGCATTGTATCTTCCTTCCTTTGAAAATAATTCAGTGCAGCAAGGGGATCATTGTAGACACTGACCCAGATTCTTGCTTATCTTGCTTAAGCTGTCTGGTTTTATCCGTGTGTGTGTGTGTGTGTGTATGTGTGTATATATATATATATATATGTTATTAAAGATTTTTAAAAAGGAAGATAAAAACTAATGCAAACTAATATAAAGTAAGAAAAAGAAAAGAAAAAATCAAAAAGACAGCTAAAAGTGCAAGAAAGGAAAAAAAAGAAGAAAAATAGAAAAGAAAAAAGATACAAAGAAGTAGCTTCTGGTCTTCTTTACAACAGTTATAAGTACATTTATAAATTTACCTCTTACTCTATGATTACAACATAACTCTCTTTTTTCTATAATCTATCCTGCCTAACCATCAAAACCATAAATCATAACTTCATTTTTTTCTGTTTTACGCAAAAAGTCCATAAGGGGTTTCCAGTCAGCAATAAACCTAGTTATTGTGTTTTATTTGATCAAAGAAGTCAGTTTACTGTCTCAGCAAGTTCCATCATCTTCACCAACCATTCCTCCATTGTGGGTAGTGCCAAATCTTTCCATCTTTGGGGATATAATAATTTCACTGCAGTTATCATGTACAAAAACAAAATTCCATAACTTTTTTCCAACTGTTTGTCCATCAATCCCAAAAGAAATTGTATATTAATCTTTAAAATCCTATGAATTAGTATGTGTATTTGAATCCAAAATTTTGTAGTTTTTTTACATGTCCAGCAAACATGATAAAATGTCCCTTCTTCTTGTTCACATTTCCAACATAATTTGAAATGCCTTTATACATTCTAAACAATTTCTCTGGTGACATATACCAACGGTACATCATTTTATAAACATTCTCTTTAGGATTATAACATAGAGAAAATTTCAATCCTTTCAACCACATATTTTCCCATTGTTCCATCAGTATATTATAGCCAATTTTTTAGCCCACTTTATCATACATTCTTTCACTTGTTCTTCTTCTGTTTCAAATTTCAATAAAAGTTATACATTTTAGCAATTACATGTTCATAATTTGTACACAATTCTGTTTCAAACTCAGTCTTACAATGTTGAAAACCATAATCTCTTTTTTCTACTTTAAATCTTTCTAATAACTGTAAATAAGTGAACCATTGACAGCTATATTCCTCTGCCACCAGTTCTTTTGATTTGATTTTACATTCCTCTTGACAGAATTCTAGTATCTCACAATATGTTAGCCATTTGTGTTTGCCTGTTATTTCTCATCTATGAAATGCTTCTTGTGCTTACAGCCACAAAGGTTTTTTCGGA